ATATATATATATATATATATATTATTTTAGTTATATATTATATGATAATTTTTAACGATATTTATAAATATAAATTATTCTAACAAATATTTTAACAATATTTCCTCTTTTAAAAAATAAGCTAATGAAGACATAAATTCTAAACCCTAAAAAATTAGATACTGCAACGTTTTATGTTAATTTTCTCTTTTAAAATATAAAAAAGTCCTAATTTCACAATATAAAAAGAAAAAGAAAAATTCATAGTAAAAAAAATAAAATAATTGTTGAGTCATAAAAGGAGGAGCTTAAGGGAAGAAGATAAATCGCAATTTTTATGCTAAGAGGGTTCTTCCCCCAATTAAGATCAATTTTCATCTCATTTTACTCACAGAAACCCTAACAAATTCATCTTTTATATATATATATATATATATATATATATATATATTGTAGAGATTATAATATCAATTTCATCTTTCACTTTTTTCTTTTCTTGATGTGTGTTATAAAAAAAATTACCACTTAAAAGTTAAAATTTTAAGCATTTTTTTGTGTTATATAAAGGAACAAATTCAACTACATAGAATAAAATAAAGCAAGTCAATTAAAGAGAACGAACAGAAAAATAGAACAAATCAATGACACTATCATTTATATATCAGAGTTTCACAAAATAGGAGAATGAGATGAGAACAATATTACAATATTATATATGAGCAATGAACAATAGTGCAGTATTATTAGCAAAGAAAAAATGGAGAAGACAGGAGCATAGAAAAAAAAGATAAAAAACTCACTTGAAAAGTCACTTCAAACAATCCTTCGAAATCCGATGGGTTTGGATGGGATTGTTTTATGAATTTGGTATTTATAGATAACACTAGAAAGTCCTTCAAAATCCCTCTCACACAACAATCCTTTAAAATCCTTATATTTTTTAATACCAATGGATTGTTTTTAAGTTGTAAAAAATCTCAAATGAATACCAATGGATTTTAATGGACTCTTTAAAAAATCTTGAAAATCCTGATTGAATACCACTAGATTATTTTTAAGTGACATAAAATCCTAATTGAATACCAATGGATTTTTTTACTCAAAAAAAGTCTTTTAAAATCCTACGAAATCCTAAACCAATACACCCCCCTTAGTTTGGATTAGTGATTGTAAGGCTGAAATAAAGAATGTTGGGGCTTTTATACCTAATCAAGAAGGACCTTATACTTTCAATTTCCAATTTTCCCTGGGGATCGTAAATTTTGTTTCTGTATTCAAGCCATTGGATCGTCTTTAATAGCACGTGGAGGGCCTTCTAGGATATGTTGAAAAAAAAACTTCTTTAGGTGTCATATTGTTTGAAAAATGATATTTAAGGTTTAATTATCTTTGATCTTGATAATTCATCAACATTACTTTTGTAACACCCTAATTTCCTTAAAAGGATATTTTTATTAGTAATGGCATTTTCGTAATTATTGATGGCATTTTCGTAATTTTAATAAAGGGACAAGGGTATTTCTGGGTTTCGGAACGGGCCGTTCCAAATGCAGAACGGGCCGTTCCAAAAGAGCGAATATGCTATTTTTTTCAAGTTCCAGAACGGGCCTGGAACGGGCCGTTCTGGATGGAGAACGGGCCGTTCTGGTATGGAGAACGGGCCGTTCTAGAAACAGAACGGGCCGTTCTGCTGAGTCTCGGAACGGGCCGTTCCACATGGAGTATGTGCAAGTGCAACCGATCAAAATAGCATAAGAGCTATTTCTTATTTTTTTGATGTGTTTGTTGAACTTCTAAATCAACTAAATAATGACAGAAAGGGAACCGCGAAGCATATTGATATAACTCCTCTATGGGAGGATTATGAGTTGAGGGGCTTTGTGCCTATAGCTTGTTCACATCTCTCATTGGATTTCTGTGGTAATCGGGAACACATAGACAATTTTGAAAGTGGAACTGAATTGCGTGCTGAGCGCATCAGAGAAGCAGCAATGAAGATATCAAGCAGATCAAATGATTGGCAGGAGTGGATTACATGCGATATATTAGGAAATAAATTTTACGTAGCTAGAACAGATAAAGATCCTGACAAGAAAGAAACAGAAAATGTGGAGTCCAACTGCAATAGTACAAAATTGGAAGAGCCTAATCAGCAAACCAACAAAGACACAGGAGAACATATTAAATGGATGAAAGAGGAAAGTCCAAGCAGCTCCAGCACCAATGGAAAATCTTCTGTAGTGGAAGAAGAAGAAGTTATTTTATTCAGGCCTCTCACAAGGTACAATTCAGCCCCATCACATCCCTCTATCTCAATTAATGAGCAGATGTCACCAAAAGACAAGGACAACCAAAGCTTATCATCCGATGATTGTTTGCGCCGTGCTAGTTCTCTTCTTATGGCACAAAACCCATCTCAAACTCTAAGTGACCCATGGGAATTCCATGGCAGCATTATGGATTTCAGGAGTGACAAATCATTCAAACAGCAAGAGCCTTCATCAAAGGAATCCAATGAACACACTGTATCAGAAGCCCCAATCTCTGCTGGCCCTCCTTCTCTCAATGCTTGGGTCCTTAATAGAGGAGGCTTGAGCAACAACAGGAATAATGGGACAAATGGCCTTACTGAGCACAGGTTGCAGCCCATTGAGGAAATAGCTTCTTCATCTCTGGCAAGTCTTTCCATCAATAAAACTGAGAATTCAGTCACAAGTTCAGTGGATGAGTCTTTAAACTTCCATTCCTCTTCTGCTACATATTCCCTTCCAGTACCTTCTGCTCCATTACTTCCTGATAATGCTGCATGGTTTACTGATGCACAACCTAGTTTATCTTCTCCATTATTTCAAGACAACACAGTACCAAAAAGTGGTTATGCAGATTGGAGTGCTACTTACAGACCACAAGGATATGATCCTAGATTTCCTGTTCTTTCTAGTGGATACCCACCACCTGGCAGAATGACTTCTTCCGAATGGCTGCGTTGGTACAGAGAGAATTATAAACCACAAAGGGTCAACAATTACATGCAACCTACTCATTTGAATATGCCTGGTCCTGGAAATCATGTGAACTTCCTCTATCATGATGCTTACAGGTTTGGTCAATTTGATAGATGGCGCAACCCTTTGTCATCTAACCAATATACATATATGGACCCTCCAGGTCCCCCACCATTGCAGCCAGGTTTTTTGTCTGGTGCAGGTGAGCGCAAAGCCAGTGGCTACAACAATTTTCAAAGACCAAGCCCTTATGGGTGTGGTGCAGTGACAGACCTGAGAAGTGAGCCACAGTCTCTGCTAGAGTCTCTGAAGGAGAAGGAATGGAGACTCCAGCCAGATCCTAATGTTAGAGGGCCTACATTCATGGGAAATTAAAACTTCTATCTGAAACTTTTGTTTCATGGACCATTTCAGAGTTGTACACATTTTTCTGCACTTGGGTTCCATACAAAATATCAAATAGTATAGATGTCTGCACATATCATGCATAGAGATGTGAATCATTAGGGTCAATCTAATGATAAGAAGTTGGATTAATATGTACAAGATCCTTTATTCAAATCCTGTTGATATCATTATAATTCTTATGGATAAAAAAAAAATATATGCATATAGATGTTTTAGTCATTCCGGAATTAATGAGGAATTCTGAAGAATGTGGATGAAGTATCCTCCATCCTCAAGTATTAGAAATCAATTTAGTCCTTGAATGTTGATAAAAGACAAAATTGATGAATATTCAGTACTTGTTAAATTACTGATATAGTTTTACTAATTTAGGGACTACTTATAAAAAGGAGTGATATTTCGGAGACCAAATTGACAATTTATTCAAGATGAAATCCTCATTCTTAGGACTTAGAGGTGGGACACCCGATTTCTAAAATAAGTTTTCTAGCCATGCTTGCTGATATATATGAGATTATCCATGGTGAGAAGTAATTGTAAAGACATATTTGTTGCCAGATTTTATGGTTGAGTATGTTATATCCAGAAAAATTACTGCTTAGGAAAGCCAAGTAAAAGTTGGTTACTATTAGAATTTTAACCATTGTGGTTCGGCTTCCGACGTTTTGTTTTATTTATTTATTTTTAACAAGAGAGGTTTGCATAAAATAAAAGGGAGCTCAATCTTTGGCAACTGCAAAAAGAAATTGAAAATGAAAAGTCTAAAAGCTGGAAATGTAAGAAGGAAAGCAGAAATTTGGAGCGTCTAGGTTTGTTTGGAAATACTATCATAGGTCAAACCATTTATCCTCCGATATTTTAGCTCCTGCCTCCTGGTGTGATTGCGCATACCATCTCTTTTTGTGAGTTTATACTTTAACCTGTTCTGCATCTTTTTAGGCTGTTGTGACCCTTTTTTTAATTCCATTTTTGTAACTGGGTTTTGATTATTGTTTTTCCTATTTCAGGGTCCTAATTGGATTGTTTTAGACAAATAATAATATATACACCTTATTGCAGCACAACATGAAAATCGAATCTTGTTGATGAGAGAATCAAGAGCCTTATCAAATATTATAATGACCACTTATTCTAATATATTTATTTGTAATATGTAACTTAAATAACTTTTATAATATATTATTAATTTTAAATTATATATTTAATAATATAATATATATATATATATGTAAATATTATATATTTTATTTTGTGATATTAATTACAAGTATATTATATATATATATATTATTTATATTTTTAATTTGTATTAATATACAATTTAACATGTAACTTTTTCATACATTTCTTTATACAAAATAAAAATAAAGATAATTTTAAATAAGATGATTTAACATACAATATGAATTTATTGAAATTTATAAGTATAAAATATTTTTGTTCTTATAATTAAAATATTCAATTTAGCTATGTTTTTATTTTCTTTTACTCCTTATTATTTCCATAAACATTATTTTTTTATTTCTTATAACAATAAATGACAGGGATTAAATAAAACAAAAATAGTATATATATATATATATATATAGACATATATGAACTAAAATAGAATATTTTTTAAGTATAGAAACTAAAAAATAAAATTTATAAAACTACATGTACCAAAATGGTAGATAAATAAAAATTATTTATTACTTAAGTTTTCAATAAAAGCTAAAATTGTACTTCATCGAGATTTAATTATGAGCAAATTTAACTAAAAATTTGTTAATATTATTGAATTTTGTTAATTTCAATTAATTTTTTTCTCTTATGCTACCATTTCACTAGAACTTGATATTAAGAATAAGAAAGAGTCATTGAAAATAGAATATGAGTTAATTGAGACATATTTTGGAGATAGTAGTATTTAATAAGATAAATTAAGTTAAGATTTACTTATATTTAAGTTCAAAATTTGTGATTTTTCCTCCTAATATATTTGAAACCAAAAGTTTGTAAATATTATTTAATTTTGTTATTCTCAATTAATTTTTTTTCTATACTACCATTTCATTAGAACTTGATATTAAAAATAAAAGAGTAATTGAAAATAGAATCCCAATTAAATGAGAGATATTTTAGAGATAGTAATATTCAATAGGATACATTTAGTTAAGATTCACTTATAATTAGGTCCAAAATTTGTGATTTTTTTCTAATATTTGGAGATATTAGAGCATTCAATGGGATGAATATAGGTTCAATTCACTTAAGAATGATATTTAGTAGACTCCTATTGACTTAATAGGGCAACAACGTGGTGACATTACCAAGCCTTGAGAACTAAAGATTATTAGCGTGTTTGGTTTGGTAGTAGAAAATCATAGTGGGTTTACTATAAAAACAATTGTGTTGCTTCCAAAAATCACGGTGAGTTTAACAGTCCAAACACATTATGTGACTTCATATGAAAGAAACGAATAAAATGTATATGTCTTAATAGGTATCTTAAATCTTAATGCTAGGTAATAGATGTAGATGAAGATGAATTAGAAGTCTATGTCGCTCAATAACTCGCTCTCTAGGATCTGGTGCATTATACTTGAAGCATTCTTAGATCAACTTGTTCTCAAACTCAACTCTCATTCTGAATAGTTCACTCTAAACTAGCTCATTACATTCTTGCATAAGGAGATTCATAAAGAAGTATTTATGAATTTGTCACTAGCTTTATGTTTCAACTCCAAGAAAATTTTAAAACTATATTTTATTATTACTCTAAACTAATTTAAATAAAATTATACTTTATCAATTTGTTTTTTGTTTTCAATTTGTACAATAATTTTTTTTATGCAAATTTTTAAAAATAAAAAATACAACTAAGTATATTCTTAGTTTCTAAACATACCCTTAGTTTCTAAAGCTCACATGCACAATTTCAAAAACTTAAGGTTGAATTTAAAAGATCCACCCACATATGTTTTCAGAATCTAAACTTTAGAATGAAGTTCATTCTATTCTGAAAATTATTTTCAAAACACAAGGAAATCATATTTGATTTATATTTTCAAAAATTATTTGTTATTTGTTAAAAGAAAAGCATTTACTCCATTTATGTCTTACCGCATGCAATGCCATTTCCAATGAGCTACACCCTGAAGTCAATATTATAAAATAGAAAACAAGATGAGCAAATATCTCAAGTTTTTAATTTTTAAAAAATTATTATTTTTTCCATGAACATGTATCATGCAGTATTCCAAAATAGGTAATTAAAAACTAATTTATATTCATGAGACATGACTTTCAATAATCAAACATTATTTTAACATAGACGAAAATTAAATTTGACAAATAGTATTAAAAATAATATATTTTGAATGAGAAATTTATTGTTATTAGTAGGGTGAAATTATTTAAAAATAATTAAATCCAAAAAGGTGAGAAGGAATTTTTTTATTTTTCATAGCCTGATTTCTAGAATGGCAAAAATAAATCCAAAAACTAGTTTATATAAAAAAATACAAATACCTTCAACGAACAGGAGACTTTTATGAAAGAAGAAATATAACATCCATGTTTAATTTGACAAATTGTCTCTTCACTTTTATTCTACAATTAAATCCTTTCATTATTTAAATTGTATATTTTGTGTTTTTTTTAATAAAATAAAAAAATACATTTAAGCCTAAAATATCGTGAGGGTGCAAATAGAAAAAATGGAGTTATAAAAGACAATATCACAAGCCTAAAATATCATAAGCCCTTGATGAAATGTCATAAAAAAAAAAAAAAAAGATCCGTATAAAGAAATCCGAATTCCGAAGTTTGGATTTCGGGTCATGGGCCGCTAGGGCCCAATTATTCAATGAAGAAAACCAAAGTCACCGCCATGCTGGTAATTCAAAAACCCTAATTTCTCTTATCCCTTCAGTCAGCCGCTGAGACGCGAACAGAGAGAGAGACCCGAAGCCAGATTTCAAGATGAAGGTTTTCCTCTGAAACCCTAATTTTTCTTGATGCTCTGATTTATTTCTTTTGCGACTAAGTATGGTAGCGTACAACTTCTTTTGCAGTTCAACATTGCGAATCCTACCACCGGTTGTCAGAAGAAGCTGGAGATCGATGACGACCAGAAGCTGTAATCTCTTCACCATTTTAATTTTCCATTGCTCGCGTTCGTTGGTAGAAAGAAATGAAAAATACCAGATTTTTAATTTATTTTTCTTTTGCAGTGTAATTACCAGCAATATTCAAGGATAAAATGCTAACTTAAAACTGTAAATTGGATTTATGTGTTACTCGGTATAATTTATATTCATGACCTGATAATGAATGGTAGTGGGAATCTGTGGTGTTGGATTTTGATTAGTTTTGGGACGTGTTTTCCTGTTATGATAACCCTATTTTAAATTGCAGACGAGCATTTTGGGACAAGAGGATCTCACAAGAGGTTGTTGGTGATGCTCTGGGTGAGGTATGATTTTTGGCTGGAATCACTCCATAGTTGTGTCTTCTGAAATTTCTTGGGGAATTTTGAGCAATGATTTACCTGTTCCCCCTTTTTTCATTTTGCTACTTACAGGAATTCAAAGGTTATGTCTTCAAAATCACCGGAGGTTGTGACAAACAAGGATTTCCAATGAAGCAAGGAGTGTTGACCCCTGGCCGGGTTCGCCTCTTGCTGCATAGAGGTATGACTATAATCAAGCCTTTTGATTTGGGTTGATTATAAATATATCATGTATTCAGATATAAATGTGACTTTGAATATTCTGTGAATGATTCCTTGTGTTGTGCCTCATTGTTTTATAACTCGTGTTGTCTGACATTTTTTCAAGTATGGTCATATATATTTGTTTTCTTTGAGGTACTGTTGTCTTTTCATAAATTAATTTGGGAAACTCTTCACCCACCTTTGTTCTTGATCTGATGTTAAGTTTCATTTTGTTGTTTAATTGATCAGGAACTCCCTGTTTCCGTGGATACGGAAGGCGCAATGGAGAGCGCAGGAGGAAGTCTGTTCGTGGGTGCATTGTCAGCCCAGACCTCTCTGTTCTGAACTTGGTAATTGTAAAGAAGGGTGATAATGATTTACCAGGCCTGACAGATGTGGAAAAGCCAAGGATGAGGGGTCCAAAAAGAGCATCCAAAATTCGCAAGCTGTTCAATTTGTCTAAGGAGGATGATGTGAGGAAATATGTCAACACATATCGCAGAACTTTTACAACTAAAAATGGTAAAGTGTCTTCTCTATGTAAACCTTCTGTCTAGCTTTGTCTTGTCCTTAAGAATAGGGGGGCTTGCGGGAAGATGAAGTTTGGTAATGAATGATAGATTGTAATTTTAAAGTTTGATCCATTTATATTCTGTAATCTTCTCTGGTGTCTGCTGCCTACTCCAGTACTACTTAGTTTGAATTCATGAAGTTCACTTTTTTGACGGTTACATTTACGGAGCTAATTTGGTTGGCAAAAATTACTTTTGCTGTTTTACCTGTATATGATTTGTATTGTGTGTGCAGTAAGAATTTATCTATTTAATTTATTTTCCCAGAGCTTCCTCCCTGTATGTGTAGCAAAATAGGTCTTCTGATAAAAATGTTTTATTCACGTCATTCTTTGAAAAACCAAAAAATAACAGCATGTTGCTTAAGAAGTTAACTCTTGTGACCTAACACTTGTTCAAATTTTGTTTTACATAGTTATGTTATTGTTTGACAGAACTCATTTAAATAGGGGATTATTTTGGGCATTATTTGTGGATATACAAGTGTGTTGGTTTCTAGTCTTAGTTACATATGTATGGGGTTGCAGGGAAAAAGGTAAGCAAAGCTCCAAAGATACAACGACTGGTCACTCCCCTGACCCTCCAAAGAAAGAGGGCAAGAATTGCTGATAAGAAGAAGAGAATTGCGAAAGCAAAATCAGAGGCAGCAGAGTACCAGAAACTTCTTGCCTCAAGATTGAAGGAGCAGAGGGACCGCCGCAGTGAGAGCTTGGCTAAGAGAAGATCAAGGCTTTCAAGTGCTACTAAACAAGCTGCCACAGCATAAGCTGCTTTCAGACAGATCAAGTTTAATCTTTGTTCTAGTTTTTGGTAGTCTTATTTCATGATCCTTTTGTTTTGATATTTTGCTATTCAAATACTTTAAATTATTCCTTTTATGTTGTGTTCGACAGTTTAATGGAATTTAAGTTTTTGCCTTGTTGAAATTAGTGACCTTTTGTAGTTGATATTTATAGATCGACATATGTTTTTTATCTACCCTGCATGTTTTCTACGATTGATGAATCAAACCGCCTGACTCTACTTCATAATATATATAGACCGGAAAGTGGCACTATGGTTTTGAAACTTTTTCTCCCTAGCATTGTACTCCAGCTTCTGAGCTTCGTCCATCCTTTCGCCTTTAACGCCAACCTTTTGCTAACCCTGTTATAGCCTTAGCCAAGCATGACTGGCATTGGTTGAAGGCATTGTTAATTTTCATTGACTTTCTGTAAACTTTGTATGACTGGCATTTTTCAATTTGATATTTTGTAATTCTTTTTCTTTTAAAAGAACTTTTAATTTCTAGCGTGCTTTTTGTTTATTATTTCATTTTTCTTCAACTTTTTCATATTTTGTTAATTATATAGATAGGTTAATCTACCAGCCTATTTCAAAACAAGGTGAATTAATATGTAACTGCAATTGCTACTCACTACCGCCTACTCCACTGTCAATATTGCCAACCACGACTTTCAATTTTGGTTGAAACATTGGGTTTAACCTGGCGTTGTTTATCTAATTTCAATAGATAAAAAACAAATTTATTTATAATCAGCTTGATGCTATTAATATAATTCAATTTTACTTATGGTCAGCCTACTGCTATTAATGTAAATATAAAAATATTCATTTTTGGTGTGACCAAATCTCTTGTTACCTTTATTTTTACTTTTTCCATCAACAATATAATCATTCATTACAATCATTATTGCTACCTCAACTATTTTCATTAGTTTGTTTTCCCTCTTCCTCCAATCACTTACTCTCGCCATGACCGATAATCAATGATATTGTTACCAAACTCAAATAAGAAAGTAGAAAGCAAATTGTATGATTAACATTTGAAATTTGATATTGAGCGTAGAAAGTTAAAAGAAATCACATAATAAAATCAAATTGTATATATAAAAAAGCTTTTTATATTTATACATTTCAAAACTTAAAGCTGAAATCGAATTAAACAAAAGGCCTTATTACATGAATATCTCTCACATTACGTAAGCCTAAAATCAAAATAAGAAAAATTGTAAACTAAATCATTATTCACTCAACTTAGCTTCTCAACTAAAATTACATAAGTTCAAATAAGAAAATTTAGATTAATATAATATAATAAAGCATACTAATATATATATTATGTATTTAATATAAATATTATATATATGATGTAACTATAACGAGTTGGTTCACCAATCAAACAAATTAAATTATATTTGATAAAAAAAACTAAATTATGTTTAACTCAAATTGTACTTATTTAATATAGTTAGGTGTTTAATTTAATTCATTTAATTAATGAAACAAATTCATTAATAATGTAGTTACCAAATTAAATTTCGAACTAATTTCTAATTAACTCATTAATTACTAGAAAGATGACTTGGATCAAACTTGAGAGAGTGACAAAGTTACTTACTCTCTTTTTATGGAAAGAGAATACTTAATCTTTGTTAACCAAATATTATAGAGTAATCATCCCTCTCTCCCTATATATATATATATATATATATATATATATATGAGGAGAGTTCAAATGATACCGTTGTAACTTTTACTAAGTGTTACATCACTCAATAATTTTAAATTAAATGTGAATTTTGTAAATCCAACCGTTAGATTGAAAATTCATATCACTTTATATGTGTATATCAAATTTTGTTAAAATTGAACAACAACTTGAGGGTAATCAAAGTGTTCATATTTTAGTATATTTTGAAATAAATATATTACGTCAATTTTATTTTATAAGAATGAAACATCAAATCATCTTGGATTAATATAAAATTTTGTATATATGATCTAAGAATAAAGAACTTTCAATCTAACGGTTGGATTTACAAAATTTACATTTAATTTAAAATTATTGAGTGATATAACATTTAGTAAAAGTTAAATTGGTGTCGTTTGAACCTTCCTCTATATATATATATTATCGAGAAGTTATAGTTCAATTAGTTAAATAACATAAGTTAAAATATATATTTATACTTATATTAAAGTGATTTTTTATTTTTATGTATACAATTTTTAGATTGTGTTATCTTTGCAAGTTATAACTATCTTTAACCTCTAAACTTCTATTCTAACTACTTATTCTATTGTTTTTACTTTTTTTTGTTTTTTAAATATAGAGAGGTACTTTATGTAAATGTTTTTGAGAGCATATAGGTCAAATAGTGGATTAGGGTGCGTGAGTGTTTTTAAATTCTACGTGAATTTGATTTTTATGGATTAAAAACAAAAATACAATTACAAATTGGGGCAATAGGTTTGATTCCTATTAGTGTGGCTCCTTGATCAACCAAAGATTGGCTTACTGGATAAGTGAAGTACTTGGGCACATGGAGCAACTCATTTTGTTCACGTCGCTTCTCAACCCACCAACGAAGAACGTGGCAATTTCCATAAAACACGTGGCAGGATTCAACACACCTGGCAACCCCCTTGTTTGCCACCTTTTCTTTCCAACATGCAGATTCAACCTTTAAACCGATCAAATTCACGTAGAAACGAAACAAAAACAACCAAACTTAGAAGAAAAACAAAATAGACATGGCAGCCATGTTCCTAACCAGAAATGCCCTCTTTCGGTTCTCAAAGTCCCTCCCTTACTCCCATTCACTCTCCCACAAACCCTCCAGGGTCACCTTCGCCTCCGCTTCCAACTCTCCACACGTGAGTGTATCCCATGTTAGAGATTCTACATATATATATAGATCAGTGATAATGATCGTATGTAATTCTTATAATATGTGATGCTTTAGAATTGTAGGTTTGGATATTATTCTGTATGTAACTCTTAAGTAAAAGGTATTATTCTGTATTTATATATTATATATCTAGTTTATGTGGGATATCTATAAATGAAGTATGCACAAGTCTAATATGGAAGATTGTATTTATTTTCAGTGGAAAAATGCGGCAGAAGGAAGAAAAGGCGATTGGACATATGATTCTGGTGATGCGAATGCAGATGAAATGTCCTCGAAGGCGAAAGAAACGATGAGCGAAGGCGTGGATAGGGCGAAGGAGCAAGCACGAGAGGCGAAAGACAGAACCAAAGACTACGCATACGACGCAAAGGAGAAGACAAAGGACGCAGCGGAGAACGCCAAAGAGAGGGCCAAAGAGTACGCCTACGACACGAAAGAGAGCGCGAAGGACGCTGCGGGAAGCGCGGCGGAGAAGACGGAGGAGGTGGCGGGCTCGGCGACGGAGACGCTGAAGAACGTCGGAGAGAAGGCGAAGCAGGGGATGCAGGGGGCGTGGGAGACGGCGAAGGACACGACGCAGAAGGTAAAGGAGACTTTGGTTGGTAAGGATGATGATGATAATGATGATGGTCATGGTCATGGTCATGGTCATGGTCATGGTCATGGTCATGGTCGTGGTGGTCTCAAGGATGAGGATCTTTTGAATAGAAGAGTCGGTGGTAAGGGTTATGGTGACAAGGGTTATTAGACTTTGCTTAGTATTTATGTTTCTTTCTAGTCTTGTTTTTCAACATGAGGATATAAAGGATGATGTTGTTAGTTGACATGGCAAAATTGTTTTTGTCTTCATGCAATATTACTATTAGGTGTCTCCTCTTGGAATAAAATTTTAGTTCATATTCATCCATGTTTCATATTCTATTCCTATCATCAAAGAAATTTTGGGGGAGTAAAAGAATTAGAGTACAAACAGCGACGACGAGTTAATGAGAGGAAGAAAAAAATTTGAGACTGACTCTAATGGGTTAGAGACTTAAAAGGACATGAGTTTTATTTTTGGGCAATTTTAGACTTTAAAAGGACAGGAATTTTTTTTAGTGGTGATCCTTTTAATAGAAGGAAAGAAATTAAAAGTTAGAAACTAACCCGACCTTTTTTTTTTAGAAGAAAAAAAAAACTGACTTCTTAATGTGGTGATTTTACGATAATTTTTTTTTTAATAGAATGCTCCAAGACATTCATGCATTTGATGAAAATATCCCAAAGTGATAATTCTAAATATAGAAGGAAACCTCCCAAGTAACACTTCCACGTGGATTTCTATATGCTCATTGGAATATTGTGATAATATCTATCTTTTTAAATTTTTAGTTTAAAATTATAATGTTTCTCTCGTAGTCTTGTACAAGAAGAAAATATTTCCTGTCAATCATTATTTTTTATTTGATATTGCACCTTATCTTCTTTTCTATTTTAATAAATAGGAAATATCAAATATATATTATTATCTACTGTGCGAGTGTCAATTATGATTTTGATCATTTACCAGCGGGGTTCTTTTCCGTGGAAGAGAATAATCTCTCGGTGGCAAATCAAGATTTAGATTTTCACTGAAAGCGGTATCTATTCAGTATCCTCATCTTATTAAAGTAAGATTAAGATTGAATTGGATCAAAAGTATTAGATTCAAAGTAAATAATATGTATGTGTGAATCTTTCGACGTATAAAACTTGGTATTAGAGTCTGGTTGGCATAGGAAAGGTTAAAATTGTTGTGGATGATGGTGGCGTAAGGATGTTGTGTGATGTAAGGCACATTCCTTACTTGAGAATGAATTTGATTTCGATTGGTATCTTAAGCCATATGTAGATCGGGGACCTTCAGGTATGTAAGGGAGCTTGATCGTGATGAAAGGAAAGCATACTCTAGGCAATATTCACATACTGTTGGGACCTACAATTGTATGGAGTTTCTTCTGTTGAGTCAAATAATGATGTTACAAAATTATAGCATATGCAATTGGGTCTGCAAGCTAAATTTGTCAATTTAGAGTTTGTTTTAAAGCTACAAAATACACAACCAAAGGGATTCTAAATTATCCTTATACAGATGTAGAGGGTCCTACTAAAGATCCATCCTTAGAAGGTGATCTACTAAAGGTTCCTATTAAAGATCCAGGAGGTTCTAAATACTTTGTCACCGATGATTTTTCTTGTTAGGCCTGACTGCATTTTCAATAGCCATTAGTGTAAATTTGAAGTATTTAACAAGTTCAAGTCGTGGAAGTGTGGTACCAAATATGCAAAAAAATCAAGTACTTGAGATCTGTCAATGGCACAAAGTAGAGTTCACGATTTTAGAAATTTTGTGAGGAATTGTGGTATAAAGTCAATGGTAACTCATTTAACATGTATGATAGTTAGTCTTATATATATATATATATAAAGCATGTTGTGTTAAACTGTTATGTGATATGCATAAGGCATGCTATGTTGATTTGTGTCTTGAACTTAGGACAAGAGAAGAAGTGTTATTTTTTAATATAGTGTTATATATATATATATATATATATATATATATATATATATATAAAAGTGTTATAATAATACCGGTGTAACTTTTACTAAGTATTATACTTCTTAATAATTTTAATTAAATGTGAAATTTGTAAATTTAACCATTGTACATGCGAAAATAAGATTCAAAAATATTTTTATTTTGATCAGATTAAATTATTTTAATTAATTAAGGGAAACTTTATCCGGAAATGACCGTTTTTCATGTTTCAATTTTTCGATTGCTAGTTATGTTCCTCAAATCCTTGAAACATTTTTATTGTATTATAGGGAGCTTGCGTCCATCTTGCGGATAAGTTTTTAAAAGAGAGATTTACTAATATGTTTGTTCAGTGTCTTTTTGATAATTGGGTTACGAGGCAAGCATGTTTGTGTTATCGTGAGTTAATAGTGAAATGATGACGTAAATACCAAGTATGATTGAATTTTATGGTTGTGAGTTGATATTTTTTGTTGTAAAGGAAGGTTTAAATTGTCAAGGAAAGATTGTTGAAATATAATCAAAAAAATTTATCTTTTAAACAAAAAGATAGGACATAAATTTATATATATATATAAATTTTATTAGGCGATGACTAAATCTAAATTCATGAAAATTCAGATTATCTTTATTAGGTGGGTGTGTGTGAGATGCATAACATATTGCTTTTAAGAAAAATATAAATAAAAGAAAATGATTTTGATTATGTTCATAGTAATACCCTTGGCCCCCTGCCTTTCTTCTAACGATGATAAAATCACGATACGACACAATTTATTGAGCACAACTTTTTCCACCTTTGGGTTAGAATATATAGATTACATAATGTTTTTGTCGAGAACGACCAATATCCGCATAGGCCCAATGAAAGTGCCTGAGCCTTGAGTATCTCCGGCTTTTGGGTCAAATAATAACACTATGGCCCAAAGGGTCCTAATTTGAAGGGTGTCAAACTGCAAAACTTGGGGTAGGTCCAAAATACAAGAAAACTTGGGTTTCACTTCAGACCCTTGTGCTAACTTATGAGATAAGAATTATTTTATGTAGATTTGATGGATAAATTAATAAATAACATAATTGATGGTTGGTTGGCATTGGAAGAGAAGAAAGTGAGGTGGTAGGGTGTAGGAGCAGTTGTAACCCCTCTATCATCTAACGTCACTAACATCTCCATTCGTTGCATCATCACATGACTATGCCGTTTGTCAATGGAATATTTTGGTACATTTGCATACCACTCGCTTCAGTTTAGTTCAGATTAGACTTGTCAGAACTGGACCATATGAACCTCAAATCATAAATTTTATTAATTTTAAGGTAACATGTAACAACAGATGAATGATCCGGCCAGTGGGGGCACTCTCCATCACCTTATTTCATCAATTTCTCCCAACACATTTCTTCCACTGCAAATAACAAAATAATCCAAATTCTATAAATGTTAACAATTAAAGGGATTCAAGCTGTCCAAGGATATGGTCCCAGTTGCTTTGCTCTAATCAATATAATCACAGACCTTGAACATGCAAATCAGCTTTAACATTTTGTACTAATTCTTAATAATATTAATATTCACTTAACTCAACGTTACAAAACAAATAAAAGAGACTCAAGCTATCCAAGGATATGGTCCCTGCTTAGTTCTAATCAATTTAATCACATGCCTATTATACTTTTAAATCATCTTTCAAATTTTAAACCAATTACTTCCAATCCAATCATTATTTTTTTTTTTTTTATCGAGAAACAAAATTTTAGATGAAGAAATGGCACCTAGTCCAAGGAAGAAAAACTTCAGGACTCAAGCTAATAATTATTTCAATATATTTTAAATGTAATTTTCACATAAACTTTACTTATTTTTCTCATAATAAGTATTATATGTTGGAGTTAAAAATAAGTTTCATATTAATTCTTCAATGTAATATTAATTATATTTTTTCATTTATATCTTTCATAATATTTTTTACAAAATGATGTTGTATTGCACTATTTCTAATAAAATAAATTAATTATAAAGTTAATTTTATAAAATGACTATTTATCAATCTGTTAACATTTCTTAGCATACATAAAATAACATAGGAGAATATTTATAATTATGAAATGGCACTGCCAATACGGGGCTTGTCTCAAATTTTTAGCCAATCGTATTTGTACTCTGTTCAATGTTCAAAAGTGCTTTTAAGTGTAAATAGAAGAAGAATTAAGGTATTCATCGATTCTCTAAATAGTACTGAGAATGAGGGAAAGCATGGATAATCATCATCTCCGTTAAGGATTGAAGAAATCATAAAGGATTCTTGAAGATACTTCACATTCTCTTCATCTTTATTCTCTTTTCTTTGTTTAACTTTTTTATATTTATAAGTTTTTCATTCTCTTACCTTGTGTTTGGATAAAAAGGTTAAAAATCTTTTGTACCGAAATACTTTATTTGATAGGAAATTTATGGGGAACTTGAAATTTTAGTCATTTCTGAAAGTATTTTTATTACTTGAAAATCGTATAATTTAATTTTTTTTATATTTATTTTCTCCTTATTGTTTTTACCTCTTTCCTCTCTATTTTTTTCCTCCTACTTTTCTCTCTTTTCTAATATTGACATAAAATGTAAGGATTTTTTTAAAAATTAAATATCAACTATTGTTTATTTTTACAAAGTTTAATATTTAAATTATTCTATCTAACTAAAAATTTATTCAAACAAGATATTTAACAAATGAAAGAAATTTAAATAAAGATAATTCAAATTTTAAGGATTTTAAATTCTTCAAAATTTTAAAATTCTTCGTCCAAACAAAATCTTAGAATTGTGTTAGGATTAATTTATTTGACTTTTTTGTGATTGATTCCTCTTTCTAAATTTTAAACCTTTTATGCATATAAAAAAAATCATAATAATCCTTTTTAAAACAAAAAAAAATTATTTAATATTTTTTTATCCATTATCACTTGAACAACAAACACAAAATATATTAATTTTATTAAATAATTAAAATATAAATTAAATTAAATAATTCATTAAGCATACTATTTTTTTTTATCACTTTTAATTATATTATTTTTTAAGAAAAAAAAGAAGAAAATCAATGCAACATTTCATGTATAAACTTTTAATAAATTGTTTTATTGTGTTTTTATTATAAAATATTTTATTATTATTAGGTGGGAATTACTATTTTTTTATCAGTTTTCTCATTATTCTAATAATAAAAATTAAATAATTATATAATTTTCATAAGATATAATAATTTATAAATATTTAAAAATTATAAAACTGCATTGCTAATTTCTTAATACAATCTCTTAACTTCTAAATTTAACAAATTATTTAAACAAAATA